GCTATATTGAATCTGGAACAGTGACAGTAGTAAAAAAAAAATTGTTATCTGTCACTTAAATAACCAAATACTGCATGACTCAGAAGATGCAGAACAAGCAGAGACAAACTGGATCGGGGTGCTATTTTTCTTTACCGTCACTTTGCTAAGCCAGCCTTAATGGCTGGCATCACAAAGAAAACACATAGCTATGAGGCAAAACTGTGTCCTGGTGAAAGTGGGCTAACACAATTGCTTTTTGGAGCTTGCAGTGGAAATTAATTTCCAGGATCTTGCTAAAGTGTATGGATTCACCCTCTGTTATGTTATAAAACGATCTCTTTGCTTTACGATCAAAGGGTAGATTTTGACCCTTGACGTTCAGACCTCCTTCTCAAAACTTTAGTGTTTTTTTTTTTGGGGGGGGTATTTTTTGGTATTTTCTTTATGCACCTGGAAATCACGTTGACCTCTGGGGACTGACCTCTACTGAGGGCCTGGAGCATATTCAGAGATGTGGCTGAAAGCCTGCCTCTGTCCTGCCAACTTGGTATTCCAAGGAAGTCTCCCATCCAAGTACTAACTACAGTTGACCCTGCTTAGCTTCCGAGATCTGACAAGATTGGGCTTACCTGGGCTATCCAAGGCAGGGCAAAACTCTAGTCTTTGAGCGCCAAAGTTAACTATTAACCATTAACTTCTATCACTTAAGAAATTCTAGAGAAGCATGTCTGACACCAAAGGCCCTTGAGGTCTAGTGCCCCACATGCTCAGATTTCCCAGAGAATGGACTTGATTTTAATAGTGCACCCCTGCTGCTTTTCCAACCACAGACTAAAATAAGTGGTTCACTGTGATGACAGCTGTGATGGACTGTACTTTAAAAGCTTATAAGTGATTCCCTGCTAGACTCTCCCTCCCCAGAAAGAAATCTTGCAGGGAGGTGAAATATTCCAAGCAAGGGAATCCCTTTCCCAGACCACCTGTTGAAATTCACAAGGTCCCTCCCCTCTGGATTATTTTTTAAGGGCGATCTTCCCTCTTCCATGCAGCCTTGGTGTGAAAATGGACCCAGGCAAGGGGGATGGGGTCACCCAGTTTTCTGGACCCAGGCAGGGGGGGGCTTTGGAGCGAGCTGGCAAAGATTACAGGGAGTCACATGGGCAAGAGAAGCCAGCTTGCAACCTGATCCACTTATTCATGGTGCAGAAGTTTATGCAAGATCCTTGTCTGCTTTTGTCTGGAGATGGGATTGAAACTAGCCAGAGAGGAAAGGGAAGGAAGGCTGCAGGTGTGCAGCAATTAATATGTGATGCACACCCAAGCCACCACCACTATTGCCACTCAGGACAGGCTAAGCCATGTGAAACTGAAGTGTGGTGGGATCCAGAGTTTCTGCTGTCCTGGGGTGTGCACATGGATAGGTCAAAAACTAGGAATGCGTTTGAAAGCATTTTAATGGTCCCTAGCTGACCCACCACCACTGCCGCCTTTCAAAAGTGCCCTGCCCTCCAGCAGCAGCAGCTGGAGGAGGGAGGGTCTGTCATGTAATCATTTCAATACATTACAGCCGCCTTTCAAAAGTGCCCTGCCCTCCTTCAGCAGCAGCAGGAGGGAGGGTCTAGCTGAGAGGGAAGGAGGCAGAGCTGTGGCTCCTGGAAAGCAGGATGCAAGGAGGAGGAAGAGGAAGGAGCTGGCACCTAAAGTGCTGTGGGTGCTGCAGGAGGCACTGTGGGCAGAGCAGGAAGTGCAGGCAAGAGGCAGAGGAAGACCCGCCTCCTCTTGGGAGCCCCGAGCTCTGCAGCTGCACAAACTCCACCAAGCACCCGGGAAGAGGGGGGGGGGCTTCTGTGCCTCACCCTGGGGGAAGAGAGTGAGCGCCAGCCTAGGGATGTGATAAAGGGCTCTGCAGATTTAATAGGGGCACCACCTCCAATGCCCCACCACTGGCTACAGCCCTGCATCAGATCCTGAAGACACCACCAATGATCAGAGAGAATCCTGTTGAGGTCGTCCCTGCGACTATTGAAAGACTCATGTGCCTTGAGTGGAAGGCATGAGGGGGAAAGCCCAGGCTGGGGAGCTTAAAGTGTCACCTCTTAGAAAGACCACCAAAGGCCTGATGCCATTTCTACTTTGCTTAAGCAAATGAAGGGCTCAGAAGCAAGGGTGATGAAACTGGGAACCCTGAGATCCACCCAATTCAGCCCTGTGAAATCTAGGAAGGGAGAAATGCTGCACCTTATTTGAACAGATACTTGTCTACAAAAAAGAATTTTCATTTCCATGAAACAAAGCAATGCCATAAGGAGAGGAAGGTCTGTCAGATACCTGTCCTCTGCCTTAAACCTTATGATATAGCTATTTTCAGTAACACTGTGACCTTCAGTTAATATCAGTTAGTTAATCAAAATATGCTATATCCAACCTATGTAATATTTGTTCTGTCCAGAAGTAGACTTGCTTTTCTTTGTTCTACAAAGCTCAGTAATGGAAGGACTATCAACAAGTCTTATGCACCAACCTTGGAATCCACTTCCTAATCTTATACAATAACCTTATTCGCCTCATGTCAAAGACTTTCCAAGATAAACTCTTTCATCCCTAACTCCTTGATAAGATCCCTCTTGATACAATCTAACATACAGCAATTGGCTATTATCTGGCAGTCGTTGCTCTGTCTGCTTTGAACAGGCCCATCAAATTGTTAGATATTACATTAATGATCATTCGTAATCTGTGCTCTAAATAGGATGACCATAAAGATTGTCTTCAGTTAGTCAGTGCAGGCCCATACGGAACCTGGATGTATGTGTGATCCGGTGAAACTGCAATAAGTCCCTGCTACTTGGACAGGGCATCAAAGAAGAATATTGCTCTCTTGGGCTACTGAAAAAATATGGAGCAACATATTCCACCATCAATACTAGTATCAGGTCAAGTAGATTATTTATTTATGCCGTATGTGATTCTAAATAAACTGTTTAGCCCACACTCATTCTACTCATTCTAGGGTCAAATTAAAACAGATGTTTGTGATTTGAAAATTTCTACAAAAAGTGGACTATGATGCTGGAGAGGGGGCCCTTTCTCATTCCCCCTCACAGTTTTCCCATTGTAAATTATCCCCCCCCCATCTTCTATTTGCCTCAGTAGAGAAGATATATGAGTATAGGTGTGCTTTCCCTATTCAGGCAAATAGTTTCAAGGACAGTATGAAAATGGTGCCAGGGAAAGCATTAACCCCCTTCTCCATGTTTTATGACTCACCTAATGGTACCCTTTTTAGTTAAAACAAGGGGTGGGCCCGCGATACTTGCGGGGGGTGGGGTGGGGAGGGAGGCTGAGCTCCAAACGGAGCTCCAAAGTCAGAAGGCGGAGGAGGAAGCAGCAGCAGGAGGTAAGTCCCCCCCATCCTGCCGGTTCCTTCCCCGTCTTCTCCCCCGCTCGATCTCCCCCCTCTGGCCCCCCTGGCTCCAAAGCGAGGGCTGCCTTCAAGCTCCGGTCGGGAGGGGGGGCAACTCAGCCCTCGCGGCTTTTTCTCCTCCTCCCCAGCTCCGAAGTGAGGGCCCCCCTCCCGGCTCGCCGCTCACCTTCCAAGCGGCAGCAGCGGCGGTCGCAGAGCCGCTGTGAGTTTTGGGGGGATTTAAACATCCCCTGATGTTTTTTTCAAGATTTAGGATTTTTGTGCACACGTGGGGACTACCCCACGTGTGCACAAACCTCTCCCTCCCCCCCAGGTTCCCCCGATGTGCGGATTTAAGTATCCGCACAACAGGGGGCGACTTGAGAATTAGATATATAGATAGGAGTCAGGCTGTGTTTCAGGGCATGAACCATAACAGTGGTTCTCTCAGTGATTGGTGATAGGTGGTATAGGTTGGTAGTACCCCCTCTCAAATTCAGAATCAACCAGGTTTATTGATTAAAATGTGTAGTTAATTATGTCACTGAAACCATGGTTTTGATAGTCATTGGTAGTTACTCACATATGGCCTCATCCACTGTATTTGATCCAGTTTGTCTTCTGACAGGATGCGAGACCCAATGGAACTGAAATGTGCAGGGAAAGTATCATCCTCAAAAAGTATGCCACGACTCAGGCAGTGGTCTCTCAGATCAACAAAGTCCTGATTTAGAAATTTCTGAGGGGAAATCGGGTTTCCAGGTCTCCAAGTCTTTTGCCAGCCCTGCTCTTGCTTCTTTTGATACATAACAGGAATCAGGCTCGTATTCTTTTCCTGTAATGAGGAAATTGTAGTAGTGAAGAATAGCATTAATTACCAAGTCTATGGACTGGAGCCCACATGACAAGACACAAAGCAAATGAGGGAAGGCTGATCATAGTATCTGGAAACTTCTCAGAAACTCAAAAGGTGAAATCCCCAAATTAAACCAATGCTACCATTGCCCCAGATTACATTTTAAGTCTTCCCTCAGGAGAGACAGATGTCACTGAGATATTTCAGCTTTGTTGTCTCAAGGCAAAGTAAACTTTTTCATGGCTCTGTTTCTCTTGCCACAGACAATCACAAAGGTTTTCAAACAAAGCAAGAAATCCTCCTATCATGGCTGAGTCCAAACATGTAATGTATCTCTTGACCCATCAGGCAATGGGGCCCCAATCCACAGGGCTATTCAAAATGTTCTTGAGACTTGCAGGAACAGCTGGTTCCCAATCCCTTCCCAATCCCTTACAAGCATATTGGCATGTTCTTTGTAGCAACAATTACTCTGCAATCCTGATTACTAAAATTAACATATGGACAGATGTTTAGATAAAGAAAAACCATGTCATGGAACTCTACATACAGGCACTGGATTAATTTGACTGCAATATGCACTGTGGCACTCCACGAAGCCCCTTAGTTTTACTGTTACTTTACCCTGAGCTGGACTTTGTATGCAGGAATTTAGTCCCTCCCATAAGTTATTACCTGACACATTGATTTCCTGTACTCTTGTTAGAGAATAAGCTTAATATTTGCTTTATGGACTGCTTATTGCTACACACAATGGACTGTGCACACACACACCTGTTGTGATGCCACACATAGAAGGTGCCTGTACATATCTTACATGTAAATAAGGTTTCAGCTACACAGTTGCCCAGCCTGGTGAAGAAGCACAAACCTCCATTAGCAATGAGCAATGAAACAACAACCCCAGGAGGAAACAGCCCCAGCCCCCATGACAGAGCTGCTTGTAGTCACGTACTACCCATCTATTGCTTTGTTTCTGAGCTGGAATTTCCTGCCATATGGACATTTGGTTATCAAAGAAACTGGCCTGCTTCATCAGTACTACAATGGAGCATCCTGATGCCTAGATTTCACACCTGTCCAGATGCCATACTCCGAGTAAGGTTTTAGTTTACAATATTGGCCATCCCTCTTAGGTAACCTCCCCTTCCCACATATAACCAATAGGATTATTTTTGGGATGGACTAACAGGTAGGTGGGTCAAGAAATTGGCACAGTTACCACCCATCTCTTGGACTCCCGATAAAAGGAGAGAACCAGTCACCTGGCCACTCCTACTTGATCAACTAGCATTCCCCCAATACGACCCCTGTCTGCTTTAACCCCTCTTAAGTCCCCCTTGCTATCCCCAACCCTTGCCTCTACTTTGATCTCTTGATCTGCAGTCAAGAGACCCACACATTCTGGCTGGTTCTGGTTGTGTGTGCATTCCTTTTGTTTTCCTTTTCTTCCCCTCCATTCTTCATTGGAACAACCAAGCTGCAAGACAGATAAGTATCACCCACCATCACCCCTACCTGCTAATGCAACTGTGCTTATTTTAATACTGTAATTCTTAGGAACTTGATTGAACGTGTGAGTGCATCAGTATTGTTTGTATGAGATATATTTTTAAGTAAAAGACATCTATTTTAACTACAACAGCCTCAAATCCTTTACTGGTAACCCTTGGTTGGATCAGGACCTTGGTATAAATTGGTAAGAAAGAACCCATTTATAAATTGCCAGTTGCTGTAAATAAAGCAATTTGGCTAACATTCTCCTGCCCGTTCTCCAGCCTGTTACAGTTCTTTAGTTGGGAGTTTTGTACAGATGACAGATTTTGGTTTTGTTGTTGGAAAAAACTATTTTAAAAAATCTGTTAAGAAATACACTGGTCTGGAACCATGAGACCCTAACTACTCAATTGCTCCATAAGAAGAAAACAAGCTCCTGCCTTTCATGGTTCTGGCCAATGAGATGATTGATAAGTACTTGCACATTTTAAAAACTGTTATTAAAACAATTTAATAAACTAAGTAGCTTTGTTTAAAATTGATTGAATGAATGTGTTGGAATGTAATTGAATGAAACTGACTGAATGCATTTTATGATCTTATATCTGAACTGTTTTATCATCTTACATAGATGCCTTCTTGAACTTCTGGAATGTCAGAAGTTTTGGAAATATGAGATATAAATTATAAATACAATTACTGCATTTTTAAAGAACTAATACTGCCATCCTAAATAGGGTTATAGTGTTCTAAGCCTATTTAATTTAACAGGATGGCACCTCCTATTCCATTAAAAATAATATTAAACTGCTTGTATTTAAGTAGGTTCTGGCCCCTTTCATGCATTGTGCTTCCAGCATACCTGTCTCATGTACTGGGAAAGTGTACTGTGCTCAGTCCTTTCAGTATATGTAACTACCATTTTGTGTAAAAGAAGCAATGTTTTATTTTCCAGGCATGGGATGTTCTAGCCAAACCCAATTTTTTTTGAGTGCATGTTTTTGTGTAGTGAAACTACAAAATATACATGTTGCTCCTTTCACACAAAATGGTGATTCAAAGCACAAAGAGGATCATACACAGTGCATTTTCCTGCTACATGAAAAGGGAATTGCAGAAATGTAACACTGCAAAAAGGCACCTGTTTCATATACCGTCTTAGGCTCCGTCAATATATTCCTAGCCCTCCAACTTATTGCTGATCATAAAAAACAGGTATAACATTGGTCTGTTTTGAATTTGCATCTTGATGTTTTGTGTGTGGAAAGATGAACCAGAAAAGCCACAAACCCCTCTGTAGACAGTTTCCTCTCTTAGAAAGGAAATCAGATGAAATTCAGAACAACCTTCCACTGACACAAAGAAACACATGTTTCTTTTTGGCTTCTACTTCTGTGTACAAAGGAAATAAATCTTATGTAATGTAGCATAACATGACAAGAGAATAGTTCCCCCTTAACAAATACTCATTTGCAACAGTGCTCAAGCCCGCTGCATGCAAAGATCTTTTTCCCGCAACAGTATTCCAGCAAAACTGATTACTAATTCCACAACTCAAATTAAAACTAACAGAGCTTGAAGGCTGGGACTGACACGTGAGTTCCTTCTCCCCCTCTCTGTGTCTCCCTCTCTGTCTCTCTCTGTTTCTCTCTCTGCGCTGATGGAGAAGCGCGAGAGGTTTTATCATGTGAGTGTGTGTGTTTAATTACATTGCTTAACACATTGGGAATAATTTAACAAGTGGAGTGAAGAAAATAAGGCACTTAGCTAGCTTTTCTGCAGAACGGCATCATCTGCTCTGTAAGAGCGGTGTTTGGGTGTGTGTATATAGAAAAATGGAACAGCGATTGTTTTGCGTGATTACAGTTAACTGCGACAGTGAAAAATTCACATCAGCAAATAGGCAAATATCAGACCAACCTCATTCTGTTATGATACTTGCCCTCTGATAGCCTCAACACACATTAAATTTTATGTATATTATTTTTTTTTAAGTTATAGCACTAAAAAAAATGTATGTGTGGATGCACAGTCAGTTGTCTGAAAAATTCACGTGTCATACTGTGTCAAAGAGTTTTAGAGAGAACTGACCATACTGTTCTCAGGGGGTGGGTAGCCATGTTAGATTCTTGCAGTGAAGATTAACAGGACTCCAATAGCATTTTAAAGGTTTTGTTCTAGCCTAAATGTTGGTGGAGAAGAGCCTACTTCACTGGATCTGAAGAACCCGATCTTTGTTCAATCTGAAGCCACAGGCTCTAATCCACAAACTTGTCCATCTTCAATGTGCTGCCACACAATATTATTTTTTGTTCTTGCCCTTCCAAGCCACAACAGTACGTTACGCTTCTGAAGACACTACAGTAGACTAGCCATATCCTGAAATCCTGAAAGAATAGTAGTATGAGAACATTTTCCTCTAAGAATTCTTCTGAGAGGTGCCATTTGGTAAGGCAGAGGCATATTGTTCTTCTCTATTAGCCAGGGATCTCGCACAGCCTCACCAGCCGCTGTTCTCTCACTCTCATTACATTTTACTATCCTTACAGATCATCCAAATGAAACTGATGTAAACAAGGCCTGATGTAAATGAGTCTGATGTAATTCCATTTCTGGTGGCCTGTGCCTCCCAAGTACCTAGAAAATAGACCTCCAAAGACTCCTCTCCCCGGTTGAATGCATCAAGCTCTTTGAAAATACAGGTGAGAATGAAGTTGTGTGTTGCTAGGGTGGCATTCAAAACACCAAAGAAATGCATTGTTTCAGAGATTTTCCTTTTGTCCTGTATTAGTAATTCGATATTTATAAAGGGCTTAATGGCTCTGATTCAATGAGTAGATTCACAGACTCAGGTTTGACCTACGATATATTTTGTATGCACAGTGCATTGGGTAATAAGTGGCACTAGACTGTATGAAAGGATCTAATAAGCAGTGAAACCTGGCTAAAGGTACACAAGTCAAACTTGATGAAAGGGTGGTGACCAGGGAGATAATCATTTATCTTGATTTATACCAGAGGGCAATTGAATATTGTCACTAGGGATGGGGGGGGGTGTTAAATACTATTTTTAAACAGCTCCATGTTTTTCATTGTATCATCACAGTCATTATATCAAATACTAAAGTAATAATATATGGTACCAGCTCCATAAAGGGATCAGATGAGAAATATGAAACCTATTATTCATGTTTCCAAACAGTAACTTCAACATTCTACAGGTAAGTCTATTGTTTGAAGGGGTGTTTCAACTGCTTTAAGTCTCCCAGACAAATCTGTAGAACACAAACATGTTATACTGTGTATGTACATTATTACACACTAGGAGTTTGTGCAGGGGTGGGGGAGAGAGAAAGGCAACCATTTCCCATGGCTGTCTGTAACTTCATGTGGCTTTGCTTATTACAGCATGTCAGTATAAAAAAGGCACATGAGTATACCAGTGCTTCTGAGTTGGGTAAATGGCTTCCCATAAGATGGAA